AGGCACCATTCCAGCTTCTGCTAAATGAAAACAGAGTTCAGGCTACCAGGTAATATATCCATATTAAAGTATTTTTGACACTACAGAAAGAAAAAACTGTTAGTAATCCATTACTCATTCAAGACAAAAGCTATTCAACAGTGTATGCACAAGGTGTGACAGAACTAAATGGCAACATATAGCCAAAAGGAAATGGTTCAACATTTAGGAAAATAAATTGTACATGACAGGACACTTACTAATACTTGACAAATCATATACAACTGGTAAGAGCTCAGGCAGAATGTAGACTGTAAAATATATTTAGATACCCTGGATGGTTGAAGCCTGCTCTGAGTTAAATGAATCAGAACCTGGTTAATCATCATATTACCTCATGCCAAAAAGATTTTATGCTGGAGGAGAACTTTTCTTAAAGGAAATATGAGACAAAAAACGTTAAATATATGTGTACCCATTTTAGTTAGGCAATTACAAAATATTGCATATAAATATAGTTCCCTGCCAGTAGATGGAGCACAAAGCTGCCTTTCATATGCGTGTTCAGCAAAGAAGCTGGGACTAGCCAAGCAAATTCAGGTTTTTTTTTTTTTGCAGAGTTCAATATGTCAAGCTTAAGGGCCCATTCACACCACATCCAGGTCATCTCCAAACCAGACCAGATTGTTTTCGGAACCAAAATGCATCCTAATGTATCCTTATGCTATTTCTGGCCTCTGATCTCACCAGCGCAGTCCGTTCCAGACCAGACCAGAAAAATACTACATTTATCATTTTGTCTGGTCTGGAATGCATCAAAAACGCATGGAATGCAACCTGAGATCTCATTTTAAGCTTTTTTTTTTTAAAAAAGGGGAAAAAAACCCAGCTTCGGAACGCAGCAAAACTGCGGTAAAAATCGCTGCAAAAACACGATGCACTGCATTCCAGATCTGGTCCGGGAAATAGTGTGAACCCAGACTAAAAGAGACTTAAAGACAAACCTTTCTTTGGAACACAGGAGTACATGTTCTAATGTACTCCTGTGACCCAAAGTCAGCAGATAGCGGCCTTATGCATGCCATCAGCTGACAGTGCATAGCCACGCCGTAGCCAACAAGGATCCCAACAATATTGTCGGGATCCACCCTAGGCTGCCTTACAGCTAGCCTTGCCTCTCTGTCACAGCTGTGAGCCAGAGCAAGCTGTACCAGCCACCTCCCCTGTATGTCCCTCCAATGAGTGCCGGAGAAGCCAGGATGGAAGGGGGAATCATTGCAGAGAAATATGACAGAGTCCCCACTCTCTGCTGGGAGAAGAGACCAAGAGCAGAATGATCAACGGTTACATGTTCACTCATCTCTTGGTATAGAGCTGGTGTGTGACAGCTACATTGTTCCATGCCGGTGTTTGTGGAGAACGCAGACCTCATCAGATTTGCCAACCTCAGCATCTGTGCATGTGCACAGACTGGGATTAACAAGGAAACAGGCATTTATTCAGAAAGTATTTTGTGTTAATGGTTAATTGTGACCATTAATAATATGCCATCCATGGCAGTAAATGATGGATGGCATTTTATGCACATTCACAATTAATATCATAAACAATTACATAATAATGTAATTGCTTATGATGTTAATTGTGAATGTGCATAAAATGCTATCTATCATTTACTGCCATGGATGGTATATTATTAACGGTCCAATTAACAATTACAATTTGATACTTTGTAAATAATGCTTGATTCCTCATTAATCCCTGTCTGTGCGTATGCGCAGATGGTGAGGTAGGCAACTCTGACGAAGTTGGCGTTCTTGACAAAAGACCAGCTCTAAGCATTGGGTAGTTTTTTTTTACTCTCCCCACACCTCTTTAATGTATGTAAACCCTAGTGTCTCACTTACACCACACACAACACAGTGCACAGCAGTACATGTAGTTTCATGATTTGACACACATTGCCGCACACTGTGTTAGACAGCACATTTGAAATAAATGGGCTGCAACACACCTCAATGCACTAAACAATTGGTGCAATCTGCATTTTTTTGTTAGTGCAACACAATGCACATGACAATGTGTGTTCTGGTTTCTGTTGCAGGCTGACAACTCTAAAGGTGCCCATACACTGCTCGATTCTCGTACGAGAATCGCAGGAAATCCCGCGATCGTACGAGAATCGAGCAGTGTGAACGAAGACGTGCGACCGTTTCTACTGTACGGTCGCACGTCTTTTGTCTAAGGAGCACGCTAGAAAACCAGCCGAAAATCGTACGAATTTCGGCTGGTTTGAACGGTGCTTGGGAGACAAATGCCGAACGGGCCGGTGTGCGCACGCGCACACTGCCCGTTAAGCATTGCGGTCATCGGAAGCCCGCCCCTTATGGGGCGGGCTTGCGATGATCGAGAGTACGATCTGGCTGTCCAAGATGGGCAGATCGTACGTCTTTTTAATCACTTTACAACCATTGCAAGACTAAGGTCTTGCGATGGTTGTACAGTGTATGGCCACCTTAAGCCACGGACTCACAATTAGCATCAGTGTTGTCAGCCTGCCACGTGTACAGTTTTAATTGGCTATTGGTCTGACTATTTGAAAAATCTGATCATGCATAAACCTTTTCCAAAAGGCCCCAGGAGCTCAATATATACATGCATTTGTTTAGAATATAAATTATTTTTTGAACGCAAAGGTTTATATTCCTTAACAAGCAACTTAAATATCCAGAAAATTGATAACCACTAACTGAACTTTACAATAGATTTTTGGCCTTAAGTCTGCAGGTTTTTGTAGGATCATCCAAGAGCATTTCCAGGAGGCAAACCATACAAGCTACGAATTTAGAAATGTAGGGCATTTAATAACTTATAAAGCCAAATAAAAATGAGTCTATTACAGAGTTGCAGACAGTCCAAAAAAAGCTAATCTGAAACACAGATTATGTATTTTATTTTCACTTTGAAGTCGTGCAACACTAACAACTGAAACATTTTAAAGCTTTCTTGTAAGCAAATCAATGTTTCAAGATAGTTGGGTGCTTTCCATATTTTCTTCTTCTTAACTTCCTTTCTGCTAATTTTAAAAATGTACTCATCAACTATATTTATGGAAATTTACAGCATGACATAATGACTCACTTAACTTATAATGTTTATAATAAAGAACAGATGGATGCGATAGAATAAGGAAGAGCAGTTAAAAAATAAAAATTCTTGAAAGATTACTAGGACAGCTGAAAATTTTACATAATAGGGACACATATCTTTTAATTTCTAGGATTTTGTGTCTGTACAAATGCAACAGTTAAAATAAGTGCTCTTTTTAAATTCTTTATTTTTATCTAAAAGCAATTTTAATCTAAATCCTTGATAAAGGGGTATTAACTGCACCCCAACCTCTATGCTTCCATATTTAAAATCCCAAGCTGTTTGGTGTGCTGACTTCATTGTCTTCTGACAACCCATCACCAGGATAAAAAATAATGGAAAATTTCCCAATGGGTGCAGAGCAACAAAAATCTGACAGAGATAGCCAACTGTGCGCAAAAAGGACAATGTATTGGCTGTGGTTGGACTAAGAACCACCATGGGTAGGATTTGTAGCCTGGAACACATATTATCATGCCAGTCAGAAGGCACAAACATAAATAAAACCTGTATGACACGAGTAGCATCGGTTTACAATCATGTAATGACTTTATCAAATTACAAATTAGATGTGTGCTAATAATTCAAAGATAAACATGATGCACCTTTATCAGCAAAACAGGTTACCTTATGGTGCTAAATAACTACCAGGAGTTACAAAATATACTGCATAATGTTTTTCCCTTAGACAATAATCACAATGGACTCGGTTCCCTAAGCTGGAACATGTGTTATTTACCATAATAATTGTTATTTTCAGACATGTCCCTGTTACTTTCAGCTCTCACTGCTGAAAATAATGATTGGTATGACAAATAAGTGAGTGAATTAAGCCAAATACCTTTTGGTGTGATGAGTAGATCACTGCATGCTGAGCTATTCAACGCAAGCAACAGCTAAACCAAACGCAACCGTTAATATAACTTCTCTTTTCCAAATTCTGTATATTTATCTAAAAGTCTGCATTGTAATCCAAATGAGGTGGGACTTGACTTGATAAAGGGGTATTAACTCTGAAACATTGTTGTGCCCCCACCTCCCTGCTGCCAGGTGCCTGCTGTTTAACCATCTGGTATGATATATTTTACACATTCACTCTTTCCACTTTGTTGTAGATTTGTTCAGCTGCTAGGCTTCTCTGCTCTTTTATATAGCTCAGTGCCAGTGGGAAGAGTTACCCATGTTCACTATTTGTCGAACATGATTTTGATATTTTGTCATTAGGGCCAACTTATCCTTGCAAAACGATGAACGTCTCCCGGTCTTTTTTCTAAATTCAGAGTCTTTGATCTCTTGATTGGCTGGAGGGCATGATGTATTTCCTGCATATGCGAATGGCATCT